TACATGACGATATATATATCGTCACAAACAGAACTGCCCGGTAAACCGTAGGCAGAGAGAGAGAAGAGGACAACAAACGAGGGGCTGTGACAAACTGTTTCGTCGGAGTTTCACCAACTCATCAGGATGCTGAACCCTCATATATATATCGTCAAATAGAACTGCCCGGTAAACCGTAGGCAGAGAGGGAGAAGAGGACAACAAACGAGGGGCTGTGACAAACTGTTTCGTCGGAGTTTCACCGACTTGTACAGTTTGTCACAGCCCCTCGTTTGTTGTCCTCTTCTCCCTCTCTGCCTACGGTTTACCGGGCAGTTCTATTTGACGATATATATGTACATGGTCACCAGCCCGTACGTACGTACGTCCCCGGACAGACCTCCGTACGTACGGGCGTTCGGGGTCCCGTACGGGGTCCGAACCCGACGGCGTTCGGCCCCGGCGTTCGGCCCCCCCCCAAAATTATTTTGGGGCCTAAAATTATTTTTTTTTCTGAATTTTTTTTTTTGTGAGTTCTCTAACGTGCGGTACACGCCTATAAATTTTCAAGTCATTTGACTCAGCCAAAAAAGGATTAAGAATTGCCAAAGATGGCGGTGTCAAAACGTGCTCGCCCACATTTGTTTTCACTTTTTACTTTTTGCTTTCACTTTAGTTCGGGGTCTACACAATTTTATTATTTTTTTTAACTTTTTTAGTGGGTTTTGCATTATGTGAAGTACACATCTGTGAATTTTCAGGGCATTTATCTATGCCGAAAAAGAATGAAAAATCACCAAAGATGGCGGTGTCGAAAACGTGCTCGCACACTCACTAAATTTAATTCTTTTTTTTTTTGTTATTTTTATTATTAGTATTTGTTTTTCGTATTTTATTTTTACTTCAAATTTGGTATGGAATTTGGGTGTCATGCTCAGGCAAATCTTGTTTTATTTATTTTTCTTCATAACATATCTTTGTTTCAGATTTTTTGATTCCGCGTTTGGCCTGAACGGCCGAACGCATCCCTAAGGGGTCCCAAACGTTCGGGCGTTCGGGTTCGGGCGTTTGGGTTCGGGCGTTCGGCCCGTCCCGAACGCCGGTTACCCTGTACCCTGTATATATATATGCAAGGAACATGAGTATGGACGAAGCACAGAAATCCAGAATGCAAAATCACACTGAAGTCCAAGTAGTCAAAGCCGAAGCAGATAGCACATGGAACCGAGTAACCATCCAATTGAGAATGATACAGAAGAATCGTGAGTCAATGTCCATGCCCAACTGGGCAACACCAACA